TGGCGTCTGGTGAGGCACCCTCCATGCTGACCCCAGCATCCGCTGCTTGTGCGCCCTGCACCATCTGCCGCATTTCCTCCACTGCAGTCCGCCTCGCTGCTATTGCCCCCGCCACCGCTCCCCCACACTGCTCCATATCCAAGAACCTGCCCTGGGCCTTCAACTGGCCAATGACCTGGTGCCATGTGCCGCTGCCGGCTGAGAGTGTGGGGTGGTGGCCCAACATGAGGATGAGCGGCGCTGGGGCGGAGAGGAGAGCGTGGATCGTGATGCCATGGGGCATGCATGGGCAGGTGATAAATTGGGATATGGGATATGGGGCATGGGGCATGTGGCAGGGGGCATGTGGCATGTGACAGGGGGCAGGGAGCGTGGGGCAAGAGGCATGGGGCATGGGACATGGGGAATGGGGCATGGGGCATGGGGCATGGAGCATGGAGCATGGGATATGGTGCATGGAGCATGGGGCATGTGTCATGGGGCATGGGGCATGGAGCATGGGGCATGGAGCATGGGGCATGGAGCATGGAGCATGGGGCATGGGGCATGGGGCATGGAGCATGGGGCATGGGGCATGGGGAATGGGGCATGGGGCATGGGGCATGGGGCATGGAGCATGGGGAATGGGGCATGGAGCATGGGGTTAGAACCATTAGAATGGGGCATGGAGCATGAGCCTCAACTTTGAGGCTTAGAACATTCCAACCCAGCAAAGTGAGATTGAAAAGTTGGATTTCCAACCAATCAAAAACTGCCAAACAATTGTTACAATATACTCTATCTTAAACACAAACATTTGATGATTCTAAGTTGGGTTTTCCAACCCAATCTAATTGCCACATAGGCTCCAAGCCTAGGAACCTCCCCCACCACGGAGCCATGCTTGAGAGAGTTCCCCAAGGTGTGTAATGGAGGGGGTTTGAGTTAGCAAGCTTATTCTCAAACCTCCCACTCCAACTAATCAATTGGAAATGAGGCTCTCTCACAAGCTCTCCTACACAATTCTTTCAAGGCATTCCATTAAATCCTTCAAGAAGATTGACACCTCCAAGGCTAATTTGTATAAAATCCTTGTAGCCTTTATTATAAGCCCTGGGGTGTTACATTGGTATCTTGAGCATATGTTCCTCCTTGGCCTTGTGTGGCCATGTGCTACTTGGATTATATACATATTTTTAGAGGATCCTAGCTTGTGGATCTAGGATTTTATCCAAGGAGCTGTGCAGATCTTGAAGATATTGAAGAGATTTCAAGATCTACATGGGCTTCTTCAAAATATACAAGATCTACAATCTTCAATCTTCAACTTCTTCAAACCATCAGTGGAGCTACTAGATCTACAAGGTGCTCCTTCTCTTCATCAACATTGTGAAGAAATTTGAAGAGAAATTATTTTCTCTTGCCCACCTTTTGGTGGAGACTCTTAATCTACCTTGGGTAGAAGGACTACAAGGATTTATTGAGGATTTTTTTTTTTTTGAGTACATCTTGCTCAATCATTGAGGTGATAAAGATATTTTGTAACAAGTCAATCTTTAGAAATCATGTATTGGATTATTGTATAAGTATCAGATTTCTTAAAGATTGTAATCAGATCTGTTGGGATCTCCGTTCCTTAACCTATTTCATGGCTTCTTGTCAAGAGATGGATGCTTCTAAGAAGGTGCATGTTGCTGGCAATGAAGGAGATAATGTTGCTGCTGTTGGTGACATTTATCTTCAACAAGATGATTTCTTGGTTGACCTGGAGATTAATGGAAGTGAAGCTGAACATGAGGCTGCTGCTGATAATGATGAGGAGGTTCACACTGCTGATGGTGGCTCCAATGAGAATGAGAACATTGCTGTCAAGCTCCAGACCCAACTCACGGGAGCAGCAGTGCCGCATTCAAAACTTGGAGGCTGACTCTGCTAGGCTTAAGGCCTGCTGAGCAAGGAGGTGCAGTTGATTTCTAAGGGAAAACAACACCCCAAGCTTCATTCTAGACAGGCAGAGCACTCTCAATTTCGTGCAAGATCAGCTCAAAAAGAAGGAGACTCACATCTCTCAGCTTCAGGCTCAGTACTTGGAGACCCGGCGTGCTAACCTCTATCAGTCTGCTCCTGCATCTGAACGTGCCGCCAACTCCACTAACAGCATTGATGCACCTGCTGCCGCACCTCCAGCTCTTCCTCCTCCTACTGGAGCACGTGCTGAGCAACCTACTGCAGCTGCAACTGCCTTTGGCTCCTGCCCTTCAGCCTGCCTCGTTTTGTCCATGGCAAAACCGATGTCGCGACTTGGCTCTCCATTGCGGAGGACTTCATGTCCATCCACAATGTGCGTAGCGAGGCTCGCGTGGTCGCGACGACCCTTGCCCTGGACGACACTGCTAGCAAGTTGGTGTATGCCAACAAGCAACACGCAGAGGCAAATGGCAATCCCTTTGGCTGCGCAGCAGATTCGTGAGTGGGTTGCCCAGCGAGGCGGCCCTGGAGGAGGAGGTTGCTGCCATTACTTCGGCGCACGGGTCCCCGCCATAGAGAGGTCTGCGGCAATCTGGGGCACACTGAGGCTCGCTGCTTCTACCGCCTCGACGACGCTTTTCGAGCGGAGTTTGGTGAGCAGGCCAAGATTCCTGACTGGTTAGGATTGCTCATGAAGGGCGTAGATGTATTTTCTCTTGATTGGGACCAGATCTTTACTGGCATGTATGCTATGTATGCCCGCTGGTGCTAGTGATGAGGGTGACTATTATTCTTGTGTGCCTCGATCTGATGGTGTAGGGGCTGCTAGTGTAGGTGCCTGTGAGACTGCTAGCACAGGTTCTGTTCCTGCGGAGGCTTTGCACACCATCACGCTGGACTCCGGCGCGTCTCGTTGCTTCTTCCGCGACTGCACCACAGTCACACCGCTCACGGCACCTGTCCGTGTCACCCTGGCCGACCCCTCCTCTGGCCCAGTCATTGCAAGCGGCTTCACTGTTCTCCCGTGCCCAGCAGCCCCCTCAGGCTCCTTGCAGGTCTCCACCTCCCCTCGTTCATTACGAACTTGGTGAGTACCGCTCACCTCCAGGATCTGTTGGTCACCACCACCAGAATCTCCAGCACCTCCAGCTCCGGTACCTCCAGCGCTAGAACCTACAGCACCTCCGGCTCCAGAACCTCCAGCACATCCGGCTCCAGTACCACCAGCACCTTCAGCTCCGGTACCTCCAGCTCCAGAACCTCCAGCACATCCAGCTCCAGTACCACCAGCACCTCCAGCTCCAGTTCCTCCAGCTCCAGCACCCCCAGAACCTCCAGCAAGGGACCCTGGAAGTGGCAGCGACGATTGTTGCAGCGCACCCGCAGAGCCTCTAGCAGTCGTACCCTCGACTCCACCACTACTATGACGCTCAGCACCCCCTGAGACAGCACCCCCAGAACCAGCACCCCCAGAGCCCGCACCTCCAGAGTCAGCACCCCAAGAACCAGCACCCCCAGAGCCCGCACCTCCAGCGTCACCACCCTCAGGACCAGCACCCTCAGAGCCCGCACCTCCAGCGTCACCACCCCCAACAGCACCGGAGTCCACATCGACAGGCTTCAGAGCTGCGAAGGAAGATGGCCAACGCGCAAAACCAGGAGGAGTCTCCAAGCGCGGTGAGTGGCGAGAGGCCGCTGTGTCGCCAGCAGCAGGGTCACCCCCCTCAGCAGGGCCAGAGGGGTCTGAGGAGACCTCCAAAGGCTGAACCAAGGGGGGTGGTGTGACCTGAGACACACCTGAGGGAGCAGGACGCGAGAGGGGGAGGGGGTCTACCGTGGGGTAACCTGGAACCAGGAAGAGGGGCGGGGGGTGGGGGACGGGGGAGCTGCGGTGGGGGAAGAGGTTGTAGTAGCAAACCGACTCGTCAAAGGTGACATCGCGGGAGGACAGAATGGTGCGTGGCTGGGTGGTAAAGCTGTCAGGGCGGGGCGTCAGTGGGAAAGCCAAGGAAGACGCAGCGAAGTGTGCGAAGAAGAGCTTGCCCGCAGTAGGATCGCGGACAAGGGCAAGCAAGCCTCAGACCCGAAACGCCGACGCTTCGCCAATATCCCCCGTCCAAAGCAGGGTGGGCAAGGTTTCCGGCTGGGAGACATGGGGCCAGAGGTTGAGCTGATGCGCGGCGTATCGGACCGCAAACGGCCACAGAAAACGGGGAGCAACCGCATGGATCATGGAGGTGCGAGCAACCTCCTTGATCAAGCCAATGCGACGATGAGCGATCCGATTCTTCTGTGGAGAGGCCGGAAGCGTGAACGACTGGGTGATGCCCAAAAGTCCTCAAGAAGACCGGAGGCAAACTCGCCACGACGAAGGCTGAAAAAAATCAGGCTTTTTTTTCTACGAAGGCTGTCAATCAGCGTTTTTTTCACAGGGACCCTGATGGATCAGGGTACCTAAAATTGAATATGAGGCCCTGGCGAGCACGGTAACGGAGTAGATGGGCAGAACAAGGAAACAGCGTGTGCAGACAGAAGGTTGCGACGCGTTCCAGTAATAGGCACGGACCGGCAAGGCCCTTTCGCCCGAATAATCTAGACAAACACATGACGACGGGAGCGTCAAACGCCCAGAGCCATATATATTCTACATACTGACTTGAATTGAAATACTACCGTACTACACTCTGCCTAGTAAGATGCTTGCCAAAGAGGTCCCGATGGTTTTCAAGTTTACTGAGCGTGAACAGTACCGTGTTGCCTGGCCTCCCTCCGCTTGGTAGTACTGATTTGTCGCTGGCCAATCATGAATTACCTCTGCCGCATGAACGCGATGGATTGTTGTGCACCAGCTGGTAACATGGTTTTTGGCGAGCTCAAGTTCAAGAAACTTGAATCTGAAAAATGCCATGTGGAACTCGGGCTTTAATGCGTCGTAGCTGGGAGCATTGCTTTGAAACGTCAAGCAACTGTCCTAGATGGCTGTCAACATATTTCCACAGTGGTCTCTGTTGTAACTTTACACAGCATTCTGCTTGTTCACAAAGGCGAATCAATCATCCTTCTGAAGCAATTTCTTCTTGCCCTCTTGCAGTTGGAAACTTGCCCTCTTGCAGCAACTTGGAAGCTTCCGTTTGGATGAGCCTCCACGCCGCCTGCACATGCGTCATCTCCGTCTTGACCGCCCCTATTGCCATGCGCAGCGTGTACTGCCCTGATAGCACCTGCTCGGGGTCATGGGGTCACAGAGACGCAGGTCACAGGGTGAAGTGCCCGTGCATGCTCAGAGTTGCAAACGAATGGACAAGGCATGCAACAGCATGATGTGGGACTCACAACGTGCATGATGTATTCTTGAAGCGCCTCAAGATTCCGTATGTTCGTAAAAACAGGAATGAGAGGGCATGCAGAGCGTGGTGAGGACTCACCGTGTGTGTGAGGTATGCCTGCCCGCTGCTGTTGATCGCCTCCAGTAGCGCCGCGTTCACCTCCCTCCCTTCGTCCGTGCCCTCCACCCCCTTCTCCACCTCCCCCTCACCTGCACCACCACACGCCATCCCACTGTTTGTGCAGGCGGAAGGGGTGGGCGGCTTGAGGCGGAAGCAGACGAGGGCGAAGGGGCGTGGCGCCATCAGCTGGGGAGCAGGGGGGAGGGGGGAAGGGTGGCAAGTGGGTAGCATGCTGATATCATTGCAGTGAAAAGGTGAGAGGGAGAGGTACGTGCGAGGTGAGAGGGTGTGTGGAGGTGTGTGAGAGGGCGTGTGAGCGGGTGTGCAAGAAGGAGTCTGAGATTTTGTCTGAGAGGGTGTGCGAGTGAGAGGGTAGCACAGGTGCTGCATGGCATGCTGGATTCCAGCTCACCTGGAACCTCTCATCTTGGCGCACGGCCTCCTCGAACCACTCAGCAAGCGCCACGTGGCGCCTGATGTACGCGCGGATGCCCTCTGCTCCATACGTGCGCAGCACCATCCACAGCTTCAGTGACCTGCCCGGGGGATGCCCATGACATGGCCATGGCGGTGAGCAGATTGAACGGAGAGGGAGCATGCATAGAAAACCAAACGGGAACTGTTGAGATGGAACTAATACGGACCTTGTACTGTATATACAGACGCCCTGCATGCATGCATGGCATGCAGCATGCCGGGCAGATGCAAGAAGGGCGGCAAGAGATAGTGTGGTTATCGCACCTGAAGCGGCGGCCGATGGGAATCTCCCAGTCCTTGTAGTCCACCACCTGCTGCCTCTCTGATGCCTGCCGTGTGCGGCACATAGGGGGGCGAAAGCAGGGAGGAAGGGAGTGCGTGTGTGGATGAACATGATTAATCTGCGATAAGAGTTTGCTACGATGATATCACACTCTTACAAAGGCTTACTGCAAAAGTACCGCAGTCCGATAAGGGAATACTGAGATACGCGCACATTGTGGTTAGAGCTCACAAGAGGTCACAAGAGCGCACACACGAGGTCACAAGAACACACACACGACGTCACAAGAACGCACACACGACGTCACACGCAAAAAGACGATACTAGCCCACCTTATTTCTAAGATACTCCGGCAGTATAGACAGTTCCTCCACCAGAGACGTGCTGTCCTGGTGGGGGCATTGGTTTGGCATGGCCATGAGCATGGGCATCGAGAGGTGAAATGCCATTTCTGGCGCAGTGCGGTGCGTACGATGCGGTGTGTTGTGGTGCGGAGTGATGAGGCTTGGTGTGGTGTGAGTGTTCAAGCATGTAGCAAGCACAGAGAGGATTCGCTTCACCCAGAAAAGGGAAGTGCACTCTTCCCAAGCAGCACCGTTAAAACAATGTCACACCACATGCCTGCAGGTCATCTTACAGCATCACCTCTCCTCCCGCCGGCAATACCCGCACTAACCTGGGTCCAGAGGCAGCAGCAGCCAAAGCTGGTGAGCAGCCACTTGTGAGCGTTGGAGGCTAGTGAGTCGGCCAGGTGCACGCCTGCCAGGTGGTGGCGCATCTCAGCACACATGCTCGCCATGCCTGCACACGCCGCATCCACATGCACCCACATGCCATGCGCCTGTGCTCGTGATTGAAGGCGGGGGACGAGAGAGAAAGGGGTGGGGTGGTATAAGGTATGTTCCAAGTCGGCTGGACTTACACCCACTTGTGGTATGGTGTGGCGTGGCATGGCATGGGATGGCGTGGCATGGATGGGATGGGATGACATGGCACGGCATGGCATGGCATAGGATGGCATGGCACGGCATGGCATGGCATAGGATGGCATGGCATGGGATGGGATGGCATGGCATGGCACAGCATGGTAAGAGGCATTTCAGAGCTCACCTTCGCAATGGCAGCCAGTGGGGCGATTGGATCCACAGCAGTGGATGACGTGGAGCCAACCTGGCGTGACGTAGCAGAGGAGCAGAGCAGGCACGTGGAAAGGAATGAGCGCATGGCAGTGAGTGCTGGTGTGAGAGGTACGCCAGGACTCCAGGGTCAGTCTGGACGATGGCGAGGAGGATGAGGTAGATGAGACGCCACGCACCAGCGTCATGCAATGCAACGTGGGAAAACTTGCAGCTGGAGGTGACACCGGGGCAAACAGGCAGACACGCACCGTCTCGTGCGTGAGGTGGCTTACTATAACATATTTGGAAGGAACGAGGTGGCTTCCACTTCCAGAGAGTGAGAAAGAAGGGAACAGCAAGGTACCTCAAACTTACAGTGAGGACGAGGAAGAAGGGAAGGAGGCCAGCAGCCTCATCGCTCTGCACCGCATCCAACAGCTGGCGGGCAGTGAGGGCGTATGTTGATGCGGCAGTGGTGGGCAGCACTCGCACGTTGCCCTCGGGCATGCCTGCCACACGGCACGCCTTGAGCGCACATGCATGCGTCTGGTCCGACACGTATGCCACCAGGCGCTGCGCTGCCATGCCCTCCTCACTCGCCCATGGGAACGTGGCAGTAGCCTCGCCCCGCACACCCACACCAGCAGAACCACCACCACCACCAGCAGCAGCAGCAGCAGCAGCAGCAGGTGCGGGAGGCAGGTCCTCACTGCCCGGTCTGCCTGGCGCTGCTGCACTGCCTGCCTGCCCCACCACGCGGCCCAGCACTCTCCGGGCAGCCAGGAGCGACACCAGCAGCGCCTCACTGGCCGTGCCGTGAATCCCCCCCCCCCCCCCCCCCCCCCCCCCCCGCCCACCTGCCACGCCATCCACAGCGACAGAGACACGCGCGGGATGGTGGGTGGGGGAAGGTAGAGTTGAGCATTTGCCCCGCACGGGTCGGGCTAACCCGACCCGACCCGTGGTTTAGCCCGGGTCGGGTCAGGGTTTCCATAGGTCTGCCCCGTACGGGCTGACCCGACCCGACCCGGGCATAAACCCGACCCGTGAGCCCAGTTCGGGCCGGGTCGGGCCGAGTCTCGGGCCTAGCTCGGCCCGACCCGAAATCGGGTCAAATTTGACAATTTCGGGTCGGGCCGAGCGCGCGACCCGATTTCGACAATTTTGGGCCGAAACCCTAACACAAAATGAAATCGAGGGGATTTTTTCCTCGTCGATTTCAAACCGTCACCCTAGCTCCAGAGCGATTAGCCAGCCTTCTATGGCACCTTAACTACCTCCGCGCTTAGGATAGGGCCCACGAAATCTGATATACTTATGTTCCTACCTTTATGGAGAAGTTTAGGGATGACAGTGGGATTTCTAGCCAGTGTTAAGTATGGTGTTTCAAGCACATATAGAATCGCGTTTCCCTAGTGTAGTCTCGTTTTACACGCATAAATCATCATCAAAGAAGCACGAATAGCTGCAATGGCGCATAGCAAGTAACACTGCACCATTTCGTATTGGAGATTAGGGGCTGCACCCAGGGTGTCGTGGCGGCCGCGAGCAAACGTTCAGGCGCCAGTCATTGTGCGCGTGTTAACACCTAGGAAAATGTCAGAAACAAACAGTGAACCGGCCAGCAGCAGGGCCATCCCTGGAGCCTCACTCGCCGGGCTCGGAATCCCATCCTTCGGGGGGGAGGGATTCCAGTTGGGGCAGCTCTCCCCTGGTAAAGACCCTGCTGCCCACGAAGAGGCCATTGTAGCGAGGCGGGCTTCGGAGAACCAGCGATGGCTGGAGGCTCAAGACAAAATGCTGGCAGATGCTCGTTTATCTCCTGAAGAGCGACGTGACCCGACGTGGCGGCCGGGGAATGCGGTAGTAACAGCTGCAAGTGACAGCGAAAGCGATGACGAAGGGGGGGGGGCCCGGGCGGGCCATAAGAGAGCGCGCGAGGGTGGGCCGAGTGGTGCAGGTGGGGCTAATGCTTCAGCCGAGTCTGCACCAGACGCTGGTGCCCCAGCTGCTGCCGCTGCTGCTGCCCCCCTTGCTGGTGCTGCCGCCACTGGTGCCGCTACCGCTTCTGCTGCTGCTCCTTCTGCTTCTCGGCGTGTGCCCGCTGCTACTGCTGCTCCGCGTCCGCGCGCTGCTGCTGCCGCTGCCGCTGCTGCTGCGCATGTTGGAGGTGGGCGCGCTGTTGGTATTTCGTGGGCCTCCATCAATGCGATGCGAGAGGCCAACCAGAAGCCTACCCCAGCACAGTTGGATCCTATAGTGGAGAGCGCTCTGAAGAGGGGTGAGCCAGGTTTGGTTAAAGGTATGTTTCGGCCAATGGACAACGAGGCCAGGCGATGCAGTACCTGCAACTCGTTGATCAAGTGGAAGCAAGGAAACACGACTTCGGGGGCTAGGCACTTGACGACGAAGCACTATCCTAGCCTGCAGATTTGGGTCCGCCGCTTCATAGACCCGAACAAGGAGAAAGGGCTAGTTTTTCCGGACAGGGGTTGGGGACCTACGGTACCTGATCAGACCAAATGGCCATGGGAGCACGCTGACACATGGCCTGACATTCCAACAGGCCGGGAGGGGGGAGGTCCGAGCGGGGTGACTGGAGCCGGCGTTGGGGGTGGGGGGCAGACCACCATCGACCAGTATGTTACGGCGCGCGTCGGAGAGCGGCAGCTGCGTGAGGGGCTGGTGATGTTGTTTGCTGGCCTCGACTTGCCATTCCGATGTGTCTCGATCCCTGCGGTAAGATCCTTTTCTTTCACTCTTGTACCTTTGCTCGTGGGTGTTGTATTGTGTACCCACATCTAGTAACCACTATCCTAAATCCACCCACCGACCCACTTATGTGCTCTTCCCCATACCAGTTCCGTGACTTCGTCGCGCTGTTGAAGCCCGATGCGGCGCGACATCTCGGCACACGTTGGCGCTTGGCACGTGACCTGCTCGCCTCTGGCGAGGCCGCAACGGCTCAGCTTAAACAGATGGTGACAGGCGACGGACTGGCGGGGAGGGTGACACTCACCACTGACATTTGGACCAGCGAGAACAAGATCGCGTTCATGGTGGTAACAGCTCACCGTCTCACCGCGGACTTCAAGCTCCAGCAGATGGTTATCGACTTCAGGCCGTTGGAGGGCTCCCACACGGGGGAAAAGATTGCGACCGAGTTGGAGGCGGTCATTCGGGAGTGGGGGTTGGGTGACTTGTTCTTCGGCGTTACCACCGACAACGCGGAGAACAACAACCGGGCGGTGCGCTTGCTGGCCGGTGTCAAGGACAACATACCGGGGTCACGACCGCGTGACCCCCCCCTGCTGTCCCTGTCTCGGCACTTCAGGTACGTTTCATGCTGTATTTCTTTTGTGTCTTGTGACATACCTTGCTTTCTTCGGAACCTTGTAGACCCACTCTCTTTTTCGATGCTGTGTGCCTCTCCTTATGGAATTGCTTGCCCCCCAGGTGCGTGGCCCATATTTTGAACCTGGCCGTGCAGCTTGCCCTGGCGGTTGACACAGTTGCTGAACCGCTCAAGAGGTTGCGAGCTGTGGCCCACCACATTGGGTGGTCAGTTCAGCGATCGGAGCGGTTCTTTGACATCCAGAAACGGTATGTGGCGACCCTGGCGGGGAGGGCGATGGGGGACGGAACAGCAGAGGGAGGGGGGCAGGCGGCGACGGAAGTGGGAGGCACGCGGCGCAAGGTACCAGTTGACTTGCGCCTGATAGTCGACTCGGACACGCGCTGGGGTTCCACGCTGGAGATGGTGATCAGGGGGTTGGCGCTGTGCATTCCTCTCACGATGTTCTTCGATGAGACTACTGTGAGTATTATCGCTTGGCGTAGGTGGTGTGATGGGCTAGTAGCATCACTTGTCCAGATTTTTCATTTACAATGGCCCCTCCAGGGCAACCGCCCCCCCCCCCCCCCCCCTACCCGCGTCAAACTACCTCCCGAAACCCCAACCCGTTTCCCTCTTCAACCCGTTCCACTGCCCCCCTCCCAGCCCGGCATCTCCAAAGAGACACGCGAACAATGGGCGAAGATCAGGCTGTCCGATGCGCACTGGGCATCTCTCAGGGAGCTGCGTGATTTTCTCGAGCCCTTTGATGCTATCACCCTGTTCGTGGAAGGGTCATTGTACCCCACCATGGCAGGTGTTGTTCCCCAGTACAACATGCTGCTAGATATCCTGGACAAGGCTTTGACGCTACCTGGGCTCACGCCGCTGCAGGAGGAGCTGACCACAGCGGCAGTAAGCAAGTTGGAGCGCCACATGGGGGGGGTGAGCGAGGAGGCAGCGATTGCCACCTTCCTCGATCCGCACCTCAAGACCGCGCCTTTCAGGCTCAGGCAGCGATCGGCGCGGGCGCCCATTGTGGTGGAGGCGGGGGGGCATGCCAGGGGGGCCCGGACACTCGACCTGAGTGAGGAGAGGGTGAAGGCGCTGGTACGACAGCGCCTTCCGCCGTACCAGGCAGCGGCCCGTGCAGCTGCAGCGGCACGCCTTGGGGGTGAGGTCACTAGCGCGAGGGGAGGGGCGGGACAGGGCGAGGCTGCAGTGCCTGCGGCTACAGGGCGTAGGGGGGCTAGGTCACGTGGCGTGCTCGACTTTCAGGCTATGCTGCAACAAAGTCTGGCAGATATGGAGGCAGAGGAGGGGGTGCAGACACTGGACGAGATTGACCAGTACTTGGCAGAGGTGAGGCAGGTTGGTGGGTGTTCCTTGGCGTACTGGCGCGGGAGGGAGGAACATCTGCCCGGGCTTAGAGGCATGGCACGCGATTATCTGGCTATTCCTGCCACCTCTGCAGCGAGTGAGCGCACCTTCAGTCAGAGCAGGAACATCGTCTGGTGGCAGAGGCACCGTCTGAGCCCACAGCAGATGCGAGCGGCCATGATGATCAAGACATGGGCGGATCACCATGAAGGGCAAAGGATTGAGATCCGTGGCTCCCCTACCACACTGGCAGAGCTGTGCATTGAGGCTGAAAATCTTGGCTTGTGGCAGAGGTTTGCTTGTGCTAGGTTGGGGTTTCCGCACCAGACTGATTGTTTGCGAACCCCAACCCTTCAAAACCTTGCTGACTAGATTCGTTGTAGGAGTAGAGACTATTTATGTGCAGGAAACCTCATAATGTGTTTGGTTACATTGCATACATCCAGTCTGGCTGGTAGTAAAATGACACAATTGACGTCTACAATAAATTGAAGATTGTTTCGTTTTACACCCTGCAACACCCCATATGACACTATCAATGACCACCCGAAGTGGGTAACTGGGTTACTGGGCTGGTAAGTGGGCTGGTGGGTGGATGGGTGACTGTGCTGGTAAGTGGGCTGGTTGGTGAGTGCCTGCTATCATTGGCGGGTCAACCCTGACCCGACCCGACCCGACCCGTACCCGGGTCCACCTTGACCCGAGTATGAAGGCCCGGGTCGGGCCGGACCTCCCAGGATCCTGGCCTGCGCCTGGCCCGACCCGACCCGACCCGCGAACCCGCCTGGCTCGCCCAGTTCGGGTCGGGTCGGGTCGGGTCGGGTCAAATGCTCAACTCTAGGGGAAGGTACGGCACTGATGTTGACTAGGCTGAGCTGCTGAACGTCAGAACAAGCGAAAGAGAGAAGGGCCTACCAGACTGTGTCGCTCTCCTCAGCTCATTCCTCCCCACATCACATCCCTTTCCCTTCCCTCCCCCTCGCCTCACCCCACCTCCGCTCACCACCGTTCGCTTCACCAACCCCACCTCACTCCACCACGGGCCCACCCAACTCCCTCCCACCTGACTTGACTGAGTGGAAGCCATGGGGCAGAGCAAGCAGGTCCGCGAGCCAGTCGGTGACAATGGCTTCTAGCTCCGTGGCAGCGGGGGCGGCGGCCCAGGAGAAGCCCACCACGTTGAGGGCGCTGATGAGGGCGTCGGCACCGATGGCAGCGGCGCTGGTGGGCGAGGAGAAGAAGGCGAAGAAGGACGGGCTCTGCCAGTGCGTCACGCCTGGCAGGATGGCGCTCGATATGTCTGTGCGGTGCAGAGCGGTGGAGGGAGGGAGAGGAGGGGTGGGAGGGAAAGAATGCGTTGAGGGAGAAGCAACTGTGGTGGCAGTGGGTGAAAGGGCGGGTATTAGATATACTAGATATGCTGGGGTGGGTAAGGCAGCCTCAAAGGGATAGGGAGGAAAGAGGGGGAGCGGGGCGAGGGAAAGCACACAGTTGGGGCGGAGGGCGGAGGTGGGAGGGGGCATCACCTGAGAGAATGGCTTGGAGCGGTTCGCCATGCTGAGGGGCGTGGGCGGGCAGCAGAGGACGCAGATAGCCGGGCTGCCAGGGTGGAGAGGCGCAGTGGGAGCAGCGCATGCAAAGGACGGGCAGTGTAGGTTAGCAGGTGCAGAAGAATAGAGGGCATTGCAGGGGGATTGCGATGGTGGGGGTGGCGGTGTTAAGAGCATAAAAGAGTGTGTGCGGTGCGGTGATATGCGCTGGTTACGCATGCGACTAATTCAGCTGCATACTGCGGCAGCAACATGCATTTCTCCTCCACTTGCTTCCAAGCAAGACCCCATCAGCTCCACAATTCCCTGTCCCTTGCTCTCTCACACTCCCTGTTCCTTGCTCTCTCACACTCCCTGTCCCTAGCTCTCTCACACCCATTCCATGCTTCTGCCATGGTGCTCCCAACCACTTGACGGCACACACACGCATCGCACCTGCACGGAGCAGCGAACGGGTCTGTCACCCACGCTCTGGAGGTAGTCTACAATGAAATCCACCATGCAGTGGCCCTGCCTCCGCACCTCCTCCGCCTCCAACGCTCTAAACAATCCGCCCTCCGCTGCTGGCCCGCCCGCAGTAGCATTGCCGGCACTGCCGTCCTGCACTGTCACCCCGTTACAAGCACCATCCTGCACCTCCGCGGGTTGCTCTCTTGCTGCGCTCTCCGCTGCTGCGACCAGGGGCGTCGCTGGGCGACCGCGGGCGGCCATGGCAGGCGGGCCGAGGCCGGAGGGGGCTTGGGTGGACGCTGGCGGGGGCAGGGGGAGCGCGAGGGCGAGCCACACTGGCGTCGTGCAGGCGGGCGTGCGATGAACAGTCGCGGCGTGAGTGCGTGCGTGGGAGGGAGATGAGCTGCTATACTTGTGCTGCCAAGTCACGGCGTCTCCCAGTGATGGCTGGCAGCGATGAGTGGTAGTAAACTAGTACTGCCCTCTCTATGTTTGCGGGAAGCACGGCGTGTGGCTGGCGTGAGGGAGGGAGGCAGTGAGAAACGTGGCTGGTCTGCAAGTCCGTCGAGCCGAGAGGCGAACGGCGCGCGCGTCACCTAAAAGCAGCAGCATCTCTGTTGGTCCTCCCCCCTAGAAGCGGCGTGTCGCTGGTGCAGCACTCGACGAGTCATTTCTCCACGCCACGCCGAGAGATCCCCGCTGCGCCTGGCGAGCGAGAATTCCGGGGCAAGCGCTTCACAGACAGTTCGTCCGAGCCGAGGTGTCGCGCCTCGCCGTTCGCCATGCCATGCCGGGCCGGCTTCCCCGAGGGTCGCGGAATCGCCTGAATTCTCACGACGTGTGCCCCTCGTTGTGGCGCTCTGCAGTCCGCAAGGAACATTGGCGACTCGTCATGCACACCGGGCAGGTCGCTGCTGAGAAGGGATTGGCGGAAGGGTTGACCGACAAAACCAGCAGACTTGGCGCGCCACCGTGGCTGTTCTAGATGCATGGGTGGCAAAAGTATAATACCAATGACCTTGGTTTCCGTAACGACGCGTCACAATTGCAACACCGATCCTCTAGGGGATCGGTGTTTGGGAATACAGTTTTTTCGCACTGTCGTGTATCCCTATTTCGTTGTCTGTCGCGAAGACTGAGGACAAGTCGCGTAGGCGATAGATCTTCCAATATCCAACTGTCACCGCACTTAAATCAAGCGTATGCATTCTAAACTTACCGAGACGCCTTTAACCCCGCCAAATATGGAACCTGAGCACGATCGCGACACATGTGGCTCGGAGGCGATCGATGCTCACAGCTCGGTGTGTGATCTCGATCCTCCTCCGGTGTTGCAATTGTGACGCGTCCTAATTCTTGGAACAGATTGCGATGCGACAGTGCGGTTTGTCCGAGCGGTGCGCCTACTACCGTACGTGGTGGTTGGACAGCCCAGCTTGGGAATGCAGACATGCGGAGCATCGAGGAGGGGGAAGTAGAAATCGTGTTGTCCCCTCTGTTACAATCCCAAGTGGGACTTAGCGAAGGATCGTTCAGGGTTGATCGCAGAGTAGTGTTGCAGCGGAAGTTTGAATCTCAGGTCAGAGTGAATGTAAATGACTGAGTTGATAAAAGCATGCATACATCGGGTTTATATAAGAGTACAGGGGAATACGAAAAGACCTAGACTAGCCATGTACTCTAAGGGGTACATTCCCTTATTCTAAATTCAAACCGTGCGGCGCGGGAACCCGTTTCAAACCTGTTCCCACTCTTTTCACTTCAAATGTTTCTGCCTGCATCGGTCTTGGTCAGACGGTTGCTGCGTCGCTTCGACTCTTCTGACTCCTCGACTTCGTACTCGGTAGAGTCGGCTCCTGCAGCATACAAGAATGCCTACTCATGCAATTTCATATCGCAACACTCCCCTTCATTCCTGGGCGCAGGAGGAGCTGACTCGCTTGACTACTCCGGTGTGTCAAACATTATATGTTCATATTGTGTAGGCTATAGTGGGTTTAGCCTTAGCGGGTACAGCTTTGTTAGGGTTTCCTACTTGTATCCCCCTCCTACCTAGTTTCATTCATTCTCGTTCTATTCTAGATTCTAACATGGTATCACGAGCCTAGGTTGCTACCTAGGACCGCTTTCTACTATGGGCCCACTATTCCGCTAGAAGCGCCCTCGTGCGCCCTACCTTACGTGCGCCCTCGTGCGCCTTTCTCTGCTAGTGCGCCTTCGTGCGCCCTCGTGCGCCCTCGTGCGCCCTCGTGCGCCTTTCTCTGCTAGTGCGCCTTCGTGCGCCTTCGTGCGCCCTCGTACGCCTTCGTGCGCCCTCGTGCGCCCTCGTGCGCTCTCGTGCGCCCTCGTGCGCCCTCGTGCGCCCTCGTGCGCCCTCGTGCGCCCTCGAGCGCCCTCGTGCGCCCTCGAGCCGGCCCTGCAGGTCCGTCAGGCCCCCGAGCCGCCTCTGCAGACCCGTCAGGCCCCCCCCGAGCCGCCTCTGCAGGCCCGTCAGGCCCGAGAGCCGCCCCTGCAGACTCGTCAGGCCCGCGCGCAGCCTCTGCCCGACCGCGCGCCGCCCCTGCAGGCTCTCGCCGCCCGCCGCGTCGCCCTGCCCGCGGCGTCGCCGCCTGCCCGCGGCGTTGTCACCTGCCCGCGACGTAGCCCCTGCCCGCGGCGTCGTCGCCTGCCCGCGGCGTCGTCGCCTGCCCGCGGCGTTGTCGCCTGCCTGCGGCGTCGTCGCCTGCCCGCGACGTAGCCCCTGCCCGCGACGTCGTCGCCTGCCCGCGGCGTCGTCGCCTGCCCACGGCATCGTCACCTGCCCGCGGCGTCGTCACCTGCTCGCCGCGTCGCCCTGCCCGCGGCGTCGCCACCTGCTCGCGGCGTCGCCCTGCTCGCGGCGTCGTCACCTGCTCGCCGCGTCGCCCTGCCCGCGGCGTCGTCACCTTCCCGCCACGTCGCCCTGCCCGCGGCGTCGCCACCTGCCCGCCGCGTCGCCCTGCTCGCCGTGTCGCCCTGACCTAATCCGCGCCTGGCCTCTGGAGCAGCCGCCCCTGCAGCAGCCGCCCCTGGCCACTGGAGCAGTCGCCACTGCAGGAGCCGCCCCTTGCCCCTGGAGCAGCCGCCCCTGCAGCAGCCGCCCCTGGCCCCTGGAGCAACCACCGCTGCAGCAGTCGCCCCTGGCCCCTGGAGCAGCCGCCACTGCAGCAGCCGCCCCTGGCACCTGGAGCAGCTGCCGTCGCGGCCCGGCCTCGCCGTGCAGCAGCTGCCGCGGAGCTCCCTGCTGCGGCCCGGCCCCGCCCTGCAGTTGTAGCGGCCCCGCTGTCGCCACCGTCTTGCGCCTGCCGCGCCGACCACTGGTGAGCATTGCCCTGCCAGCACTGCTACCGCTGCTACTGCTGCTACTGCCTTTTCTACTCCCACTGCTACCGCTCCTGCTGTTACTGCTGTTACTGCCGCTACTGCTACTACTGCTGCTTCTGGCGTGGCCAGATGCAGCTCCAGGGCAGTGCGCATGAGTCCCTCACGCCCCAGCACCTTCGTGGGTGGTACGCTAGTTGGGGCTGTCGGGGTGGCCGTAGTGGTAGTCGCTCTGGAGTGGGTCGGTCGGGAGCTTCTGGTAGTGGACAGGTGCAGCTGCCATGTCCTCTTTCGCCCCAGCAGCTTCGTGCGTGGTACGCTAGTTGGGGCTGTCGGGGTGGCCGTAGTGGTAGTCGCTCTGGAGTGGGTCGGTCGGGAGCTTCTGGTAGTGGACAGGTGCAGCTGCCGTGTCCTCTTTCGCCCCAGCAGCTTCGTGAGTGGTACGCCAGTTGGGGCTGTCGGGGTGGCCATAGTGGTAGTCGCTCTGGAGTGCGTCGTTCGGGAGCTTCTGGTAGTGGACAGGTGCAGCTGCCGTGTCCCGTGAGTGAGGCTGCCGCTCTAGGTGCTAGTGCGTCTGTTGCCCTAGGTGCTGGTGAGGCTCCCACTCCCGGTACTCGCGTGTCTCCTACCCCAGGTGCTGGTGAGGCTGCTGCTCTAGGTGCTAGTGAGTCTGCGCCCCCTGGTACTGAGTCGACTGAGGCACTGCACACCTTCACTCTGGACTCAGGTGCTTCTCGCTGTTTCTTTTGTGACCGCACTGCCCTTGAGCCGCTTGCTCGGCCAGTTGCTGTCTCCCTCGCTGACCCCTCTGGGGGTCCGGTCATTGCGACCTCCTCCACTGTCCTTCCTTGTCCTGCGGTCCCGTCGGGCACACTGTCAGGTCTCCACCTCCCCTCGTTCTCTACGAACTTGGTGGCGGGTTGTGCGCTCCAGGACGGGGGTGTTCACCAGTTCACCCCTGCCTACGAGCGCGTGACACACTGCACGTGTGCTCGGACGGGCCGTCACCTGGCTACCTTCACTCGGCAGCCGGGGTCGGACCTGTACACACTGACCACTGAGTCCCCTCAGGTAGCTGCGTCTGCGTCTGCGTCAGGTCAGCTGTTGGCCCCCTGCTCGTGTCGCTCTCTGGCGCACGACACCGTCCTCTGGCACCACCGACTTGGTCACCCGTCCGTGCAGCGCCTTCGTGCCATGCACAAACGGTACCTTGTCTCTGGTCTTCCCAGGGTTCTCCCTCCCCTCCCACCCTCGCCTGCTCCTCCCTGTCTTCCCTGTGTCGAGGGGCGGCAGCGCGCCGCTCCTCACTCCTCCTCGTTTCCCCCGACGACTGCTCCCTTGCAGACGCTCCACATGGACGTGTGGGGCCCAGCCCGCGTCCGTGGTCAGGGTCAGGAGAGGTACTTCCTGATAGTTGTTGACGACTACTCGCGCTACACCACGGTCTTCCCCTTGCGCACCAAGGGTGAGGTCCCTGATGTTTTGATCCCTTGGATCAGCGCTTCTCGTCTCCAGCTCAGCGAGCGTTTCCACTCGGACTTTCCTGTCCTGCGCTTGCACTCTGACAGAGGTGGTGAGTTCTCCTCCGACCTCTTGGCAGCCTATTGTGCGGAGCACGGCATCCGCCAGTCGTTCACGCTTCCGGCCTCTCCACAGCAGAATGGGGTTGCTGAGCGCCGCATTGGCTTGGTCATGGAGGTCGCTCGTACCTCCTTGATCCATGCGGCTGCCCCCCACTTTCTGTGGCCGTTTGCAGTCCGATACGCTGCGCATCAGCTCAACCTCTGGCCCTGTGTCTCCGTTCCGGAGACTTCGCCGACACTGCGTTGGACAGGAGAGGTTGGCGATGCGTCACGCTTTCGGGTCTGGGGATCTCGAGCCTTTGTTCGCGATACGTCCGTGGACAAGCTCTCCTCCCGCGC